TAGTAGTAGCGATGCCAGGAGCCCCTAGTAGCGTCCTTTGCTCCTAGGAATCTGATCTCAGAGTCTTCTCCCAAGCTCACATTTCAAATCCGGACACTACCGATTTGTTCAGTCACCCGTGCGGGCCACCTGCCTATGCATCTCACCCAAAATGTACTACCCGATAAACCACCATGTTTGCGCACATTTGCAGAAGGAAGCAACAAGGACTGTGAACTCGAACTCATACAATGATTCTTAATTTCAACACACGAATATATTATTGTTAAACAGCGGAGGTTCAACTACACCTAAACAAAGGGGTAAAGAACGCTCGCAGACTGTTTCGCACGGAGCCAGATGCTCAAGGCGCCTGCGGCACCAACAGTGAAACGAGTCCGAGGGGCATGCGTGTATTTCCACACACCCTCTATTTTAGTGGCCCGAGGACTCTCTGGTGTAGAACGTCACCAACTGGCGACAGCGGTCCTTGAACTGCTCTTGCAAGTTCGGCAGGTCTCTCAAGTCGGTCTTATTCCAGCACCCGCCACACCAGATCTCCGGTCTTGGTCCTGCAGCTGGCATATAGGGACTCCGATAGGGAAAATCCCGCAGGGAGTATCGTGGTTGTGGACTCCTCAGGGATTTGGCATTGTGAGCCACATGAATCCCAACACCTTCCACGTAGCGCCATCCACTCTGCTCAGCCAGCTTGTAGACATGGCGCATCAAGTCCTCGTCTTTGGACTCCACTGCTCGACCAGGCAGGTCATCCACCATGTCGGCCACTTTGGCTCCTTTCTTCTTTTGCTTCGTGAAGCTCTCGTTGTACTCAATCGACCACTCACCTTTCTGCAAAGTCTCTCGCAATGCACTATTGTCCATCATCTTCGTGCCACTGTCCACGAAGAGGTTCGCAGTGCTCGTCCATCTCATGGAAGTTCCAGGTCTTCGAAGTTGTTGTCGAAGAGCTGCTAGGCTGAAGGCAAGGCTCTTCTGCACACCAAACCTAACATCTTGGGAGAGTCTGTCATAGACGTCTTTCGCGTCAGTAACTCCAACGAGATTTACCTGACAGACATTGAGGTGTCCTGTTCGGCTTGCGACTTCGATGCCTCTGAGCTCGGCGATGAAGCCACGGCACAACTCTGCCGCATCAAGCCCTTCCTCGCATCCCAGCGTTTCTGCCGCGTAGGAGCTACGACAGACCCTTTGCAACCGATGGCTGCGAAAGTCCCAGACGTTGAAATGTCCATGCTTCCCAAGCATCATCTGCTCATCGGCGAGGAGCACCGCGTAGCAGGACTGACTGTGCACCTTTTCGGCCGGCGTGGCCTCAGTGCATCCACTGGCATTGACATTGCCAAGAGCTGCATCGGTCGCCACCATGACGCCGCCAAGCTTGTAGTCCACGGCCTTGAACTGCAAGGTGAAGTCCTTATGGCGTTTTGCCTCTTCCACCACTTTGTTCACTCGAAGTGCAGTTCCAACCGTTGCTCGCTCTGACTGCAAGCTGCTCACCGCAAAGGACAGGTCGAAGCGAAGTTGCGCCACCAACCACTGTAGGGCTCCTAGAACTCCTTTCAACTTCTTCACCTCAGCGGCATTAAGCAAGCTCGAGACGTCCTTTCGTCTCTGGCGTGTCAACTGCATGCCAGTCAGGTTCTCATGGTACCTTGTCATAGTCAAGGTCACTCGGCCATCAGCTTCTCGACTGAAGGTCTTTCCACACCAACTGAATGGTGGGGAGTCCATAGAACCAAAGCCAATCCGTTCACCAAGTCGAACCAAAGATGCTTCAGCCTCTTTGTCTCCAGACATCAACAGGTCATCGACGTGTGCTGCTAGAATGCCTGTGAGCTCGTTCTCCTTGTTGAACTTAAGCCATAGTGCCAGGTCAAGACTTGACCGAATCCAGTTGTCCTCTCCAAGTTCACGGGCTAGTCGAAGGTACCACTCACGAGGTGCATCAGCAAGACCAAAAATGCCCTTGAGGACCTTGGCCACACACCCAGTGGGGATTCCGATGCTCGGACCGAGCTTCGGGTTGGTTCCTCTGATGTACAGTTGCCTCTGCACATAGGGGTCGCCCTTCAGGAACGCTGCGCGCACATCTGCGCTGAGAAGACACCATTGTGGATGACAGGCACAAACACAGCAAACCACATGTTGAGCTATTCTTGAAGCCGTTGGGGAATCTGCTCTCAGCTCTCCATTGAGGTTGGCAAGGTCACGGAATCCAGGAACGATGATCCGTGCATTTGCCTTCAGCGGGAGCGGGCACTCAGGCGATCGGAGCTTGGCGTTCTTGTCCACCAGGATGAACCTTGGATTCATGATCCTCTCAAGTTCACCTTTTCGCTCCAACTCTTGTTCCACCGCTCGGGACTCATCAAGGCCTAACACCATCACAGCTTCATTCTCCAGCCATTTCTTCCATTGGTCATCTGCTGCAAGACGGAATTCTTGTCTTGTCTCTTCATTCATCTCTGACCATCGAAGTTCACGTCCTTGAGCCGCAGTAGTTAGGGCTTCTCTAGTGTCGCTGTTCGATCCGGCTGGCCACTGCAGTTGCAGTTTGTGAACTGTGTTTACCTGTCGCTCTGTTGGGCGAGACCATCTGCCGTCCCAGCTTCCGTGGTCATCTTCTCCATGATGGCCATTTTCTATGTCTTCCTGGGCTTTATTGACGGCCTCCAACAGCGGGTGTCTCAGCTCTGCAGAAAGAACATCTATTGCTTTGCCACCAAGTCGAAGGGGTTCCATCAACCTTCTTCGAACGGTCTCTCGATCATCTGTTGGCTCAGAAAGAGCTCGTCTCACAGCTCCTTGGGCTTGCTCAAGCCTTCGACCATACTCAGCTGGGGTCTCTTCAGGAACAACGCCAGGTCGAGGGACAGTTGAAGCTGCCGGCTTGGCATTCTCACCAGGTAGTTCTTGTCCGACCTGAGGATCACGACCATCATCAGCTTGTTGAGGTAGAAGAGGACGAAGGTCGCCACTGCCACGAAGTCCACCTCCAGGGTCTGGGCCTCCACCAAGAAGTCCATCACGAGGCGGCTCGGGAGATCGACTCGGCTCTTCCGCAACTCCCGCCAATGGGGCTGTCTGCTCAGTGGACTGTCTCCTTGATGCCAATCTCGAAGGAAGCGACGAGTAGCTTGAGCATGGTGCTGCTTGCACCACAGCGGGCGTCATCGCTGGGTAAGGGAAAGGATAAACCACCGCAGGTGTTGGTGTCTCTCCATGAAGCTCAGGCTGAACTGGAACTTCTGGGGGCTCCTCCGGCGGCTCTGTTGGCTCATAGCTCTCCTCACCAATTCCATCTCCTTATTGTTGGTCATCAGGATGTTGGTCTTCCACAGCATTGATGACATCCTCAACGATGGCATCCCAGTCCGAAGCGACAAGACGTTCCAAAGAACTTGCACGACGTAGATGCTCCATGGCCACTTTGGTCACATTGCCTCCGTAGGCAACGTAGGCAGCATTCGGCATCTCCTTGCCTTCAATGGCCAAAAGCACTCCAGGTCCGTGCCACTTCTTCAACTCTAGTCTCCTCCTCTGCACGAGCTTCATCTTCTTGCTCGTGGGCTTCTGTTCACGGAAGAAGTACACAACATCACCAACAGTGAAGCCATCCCAACCGACTTGGTCACGAGCTCGTGCAACTGAAGCTGCTCTCAACGCTCTGCTGTAGTGAAGTCTCACCATAGCAAGCTTTGCAACCTCTCGCGTGGCCACCAGCCTGGAGAACGAAGGTGTCTCAAGGGCCATGCTGTGTGCTGCAAGTCGAGTTCGAAGGTGCGAGGGCCCGGCTTCTCCAAGAACTCGAGGTTGACGTCCCAGCACCATCTGGCTCGGAGAGAATCCGGCGCCATCCACGTCGTTGTTAACGGCTTCCAGTGCTGAAGCCAGGGCGGTTCTCATGTCATCCATGCCAGCTGCTACCGCCTCGTGGATTGTTGCTCGGAGAACGGCCTTCAGTGAACCTCCCGCTCTCTCGGCTATGCCGTTTTGCCACGGCGCACCCACCGGTACATGGCGCAAGACGACGTCGTGCATGTCCATGGTGTGCTGCACCACCGCCGCCGTGAACTCTCTGCCAAGATCCGTAGTGATCTGTGAGGGGATGCCGAGCGTGTTGAACCAACACTCCTGGAAGAACTTGATGACTTCCAGCCCGCTCTTCTCTTCCAGTACCTTAGCGACTTGATACCTGGAAGCGGCATCAACGGCATGGGCAATCCAGTAGGTCTCACCATGGCTGTCATGCGCGGCAATCAGGTCGGCATAGAGGTGGTCATTGAAGTTCCTGACTCGAGGTAGGCTAGCAGGCCTTCTGGTTCCAGGCCGCTTGGTCTCATGGCAGATCTCACATTTGTGCTCCTTTGCAGCTTTGATCAACATCGGATCAGCTCCTGTGATCAGCAGAGCACGGGCCAAACGAAGAGGTGGTCGATGGCCAGTCACCTCATGAAGATGCTTTGCCATCTTCCGATCTCTTGCCGTTGGATTTCCATCTCCAGGCACCACCACATCATTGATCTGCTCGTCCTGGTCCGCCGGGTTGTCCAGCATGAAGTTTCCGTCATCTCCACCAGGTTCATCTGAAGGTCCACCAGGTCCATCTTCGCCTCCATCGCCAGCATCATCATCGCCACCTTCGCCATTGGCGTCAGAAAGCTCCTCGATGACGTTGACCTCCAACGTGGACCATTCACGCTCGATGCCTTCGAGCAAGGTCTGTGCAAGAAGTGGTGGATAGTGTCCTGCAAGCCGAGTCACCTTCAACGATCGCCTCATG